ATCCCATCCCAGATCCAGGATCTCCAGGATGGAACCATCCCAAAAATTCTCCTGGATCACTCATATTCCTGACAGGGATCCCATCCCAATCCTGCTCCACGGGATCTCCAGGATGGAACCATCCCAAAAATTCTCCTGGATCACTCATATTCCTGACAGGGATCCCATCCCAGATCCAGGATCTCCAGGATGGAACCATCCCAAAAATTCTCCTGGATCACTGATATTCCTGACAGGGATCCCATCCCAGATCCAGGATCTCCAGGATGGAACCATCCCAAAAATTCTCCTGGCTCACTCATATTCCTGCCAGGGATCCCATTCCAGATCCAGGATCTCCAGGATGGAACTATCCCAAAAATCCTCCTGGTTCACTCATATTCCCGCCAGTGCTCCCATCCCAATCCTGCTGCACAAGTTTTCCAGGAAAACCCCCCGGGATGAACCTGATGGTGGAGAACTTGTGGCGATTCCCGTGGCGGTCGATGAAGCTGATGAGGATTTCCAGGACAAAGAGGCGGATTTCGGGATCTTCCAGGAGGGCTGAGGAGAGGAGCCGGTCCAGGAACGCGCTGGGAAGAGCCGTGAGCATGTTGGTGCACTGGAAACCCACGGAGACCTGGAGATTCCAAGGAAAAAAAATGGGATAAGGGACACTCAGAGGGAGTTAAACCAAAATTTGGGCTCGTCCGGAAGGGAAGGATTTGAGGGATTCATCCCCATGGAATATGGACCTGGAGGAGTTCCTGAGGGATTCACCCCTTGGGAAAGGGACCTGGAGGAGTTTCTGAGGGATTCACCCCTTGGGAAAGGGACCTGGAGCAGTTCCTGAGGGATTCACCCCAGGGAATATGGACCTGGAGCAGTTCCTGAGGGATTCACCCCAGGGAAAGGGACCTGGAGCAGTTCCTGAGGGATTCACCCCATGGAAAAGGGACCTGGAGCAGTTCCTGAGGGATTCACCCCATGGAAAAGGGACCTGGAGCAGTTCCTGAGGGATTCACCCCAGGGAAAAGCAGTTCCTGAGGGATTCATCCCTTGGAATCTCCACCTGGAGCAGTTCCTGAGGGATTCACCCCTTGGAATATGGACCTGGAGCAGTTCCTGAGGGATTCACCCCATGGAACAGGGACCTGGAGCAGTTCCTGAGGGATTCACCCCTTGGAAAAACACCTGGAGCAGTTCCTGAGGGATTCACCACAGGGAATATGGACCTGGAGCAGTTCCTGAGGGATTCACCCCTTGGAAAAGGGACCTGGAGCAGTTCCTGAGGGATTCACCCCTTGGAATATGCACCTGGAATACGATCCCGTGGGAATGGGGCCGGATTCCTACCTGGAGCAGGGATTTCAGGAGCATGATCTGCGTCAACCGGTTCCGGTTTTCCCTGCATGGAAAGAGAGGAATTCCAGGGTCAAATCCAGGGGGGAACGAGGCATTCCAGGAATTTGGGGATTAAAAACCGGGAATGGGATCAGGGGGGAGGAGATCTGAGTTCTCCAGGCGAGATTCCAAAGGGAAAACAACGGGAATGACACTTCCCAAGATCCCAGGGAATCCTGTTTTCCAGAAATAAAGAGGAGTTTGG